AAAAAAAAAAATATATATATATATATGCGTTTTAAAACTTTAAAATATATTGAGAACATTGAAATATAGGATATATTTTGATATAGAATATATGTTTTGCGTTTTGTGTGAGAATGCAGATGCATTGAATGTAAACATGGAGCTATCGCGGCACCTAGAGGAGCAAGACGGGATTATTTATAAATACATTATATAAATACATTCATTATCTACGAAAGAACTAGCGCATTTGCAATACTAAATGTTCGTATTTTTATCATAAGCATAAGATAATAGTTACATATCGTAATTTATATCACACAGAGTATTGTATTTACATTTACAGCTCTTATTTTGAAGAGTGTCCGGCTTTTATTTTGAAGAGTGTTCGGCGCCGGAAGCGGAAGTGCCGCACGCGCGCGTGTCTCTTTCATTCATTGCGGGAGGGAGTTAGCTGGAGTTGAGTGTGATATTAATAATTATTAAAGTCATCAGAGCTGATCATGATTAAAGAGAACTGCTGGAATATCCCTGTGAACGCTCCGGCGTGTATGGAGAGACACCTGGACGCGGTGGATTACAGAGCAGGTCAGAACAAACCATCACCTCAATCTGAGCTACTTTATATACACGTGTGCGTTAAATGCTTGATAGCAAAACATCTCGGATAGAAACAGAGGAAAATGAAGTTATAGACATCAACATGCTTAACCAGATGATTGACTTACGTTAAGAATCGCATTAAGAAAGTCTTCTGAAATGTAACGTGTAAATATGCAAATGAGGCACTTAATATGCAAACATTTCAAGAACAGAAATTGATAAGCAAGGTTAAAATGTCAGAAAATACTGTCAACAGACCAAGCTTTTGGGAATAAAATGTTGTATAAAATCAGGTGAATGATGCATGAACAAAAAAAATTTATAAAGTCTAATAAAATAAACACTTTAAAATTTATTTTTGCACAAAAAAACACTTCATGAAAAGCCAAAATGTCAAAGTTTACCAATGCATGAAAAAACAAAAACGATGCTTTTGTCTGTATAGTGTCTCGCCTTGAATATAAGAACATTTTTGACTGAATTATTTATAATTACTTTTATTATTACTAAATCAATGCTGATTATTTTATGTTGCTCCAAAAATGTCACAAATACATTTCATCTAACAGCATATTATAATTCCTGCGCTGCCACAGACATATTCATAACTCAATTATGTCGTAATAATGAGATATGTCATTCTAACAACATCTTTTCTCATAACAACGAGATGTTATGTCGTTACTAGTGTTGTCACGGTACCAAAATTTCAGTATTCGGTAGCAATACCAGTGAAAATCCACTTCTCAGTACCAAAGCAAAACACAAAAACATGCTAATTGAACAACATTTTTATTAATAACGTTAAACAAAAATTAAATGTACAAAACCAATGCCATTCTTTATACAAACAAGTTTCACCCAAAAGTTTAGTCATAGTTCTGCTGCCACTGAAAAACATCTGTAAACTGTTGTCTGTTTTAGGGCTTGCTGGTGTTTCAGGATCTTCCTCAGTCTGCAGCTGTAAAAGGAAAATATAATATACTTCAGTAAAGCTATGGGCTGAGTCTGACCAAATGCAACATTAGATCATTGACACCAGCTAAAATATAACTTTTCAGGAAATAACAAACCTCAGCTTTTATAATAAATGCAGATAAGATTACAGATATTAAGTGTATATCACATAGATGCAAACTGTAGTATTAAAAACACTTTACAGTAAGATTTTATTTGTTAGATAACATGACCTAACAATAAACAATAGTTATATGGCAATTATTCTTCTTAGGGTTAATTTCAAAGTTCAATCTGTTAAAATTATTTAATGCAGGTACCGTAACGTTTTCATTTTTTTAGTACCGACTTGGTACCGAAATACCGGGTCTTTTGACAACACTAGTCGTTAAAATGACATCCTTTCTCGTTAAAACGTCATCTTTTCTCATAATATAAAAACATCCTTTCTCGTTAAAACGTCATCTTTTCTCATAATATAACAACATCCTTTCTCGTTAAAACTACATCTTTTCTCATAATATAACAACATCCTTTCTCGTTAAAATGTCATCTTTTCTTATAATAACAAGATATGTCGTTAAAAAGCCTTCCTTTCTCATTAAAACGTCATCTTTTCTTATAATAACGAGATGTTATGTCGTTAAAATGACATCCTTTCTCATTAAAAATACATATTTTTTTATAATAACGAGATGTCGTTAAAATGAAATATTTTTCTCGTTAATGCATCTTTTCATCGTTATAACGAGATGTCGTTAAAATGACATCCTTTCTCGTTAAAACTACATCTTTTCTTATAATAGTGAGATGTTGTCGTTAAAATGACATCCTTTTTCGTTAAAACTACATCTTTTCTTATAATAATATGTCGTTAAAATGACATTTTCTCGTTAAAACTACATCTTTTCTTATAATAGCGAGATGTGTCGTTAAAATGACATCTTTTCTCGTTAAAACTACATCTTTTCTTATAATAATATGTCGTTAAAATGACATTTTCTCGTTAAAACTACATCTTTTCTTATAATAGCGAGATGTTGTCGTTAAAATGACATCCTTTCTCGTTAAAATGACATCTTTTCTCGTAATAACGAGATATATCGTTAAAACATCTTTTTCTTGTAAAAACATATTTTCTTGTTAAAACAAGATGTCGTTTTAACATCTTTTCTCGTTATGCGACATATTTTCTCGTTAAAATGAAATCTATTTCTTGTTAATACATCTTTTCATCGTTATAACGAGATGTTGTTAAAATTACATCTTTTTCTCGTTTAAACGATATCTTTTCTCATAATAACGAGATATGTCGTTAAAATGAAATCCTTTCTCGTTAAAACTACATATTTTCTTATAATAACGAGATGTTGTCGTTAAAATGACATCTTTTCTCGTTAAAACTACATCTTTTCTTACAATAACGAGGTGTCATTAAAATGACATATTTTCTCGTAATAACGAGATATATCGTTAAAACAACATTATTCTTGTTAAAACATCTTTTCTCGTTAAAACGAGATGTCGTTTTAACAATCTTTTCTCGTTATGCGACATATTTTCTCGTTAAAATGAAATGTTTTTCTCGTTAATACATCTTTTCATCGTTATAACAAGATGTTGTAAAAATGACATCATTTTCTCGTTTAAACAATATCTTTTCTCATAATAATGAGATGTTATGTCATTAAAATGACAATTATCGGTAACACTTTATTTCGATAGTCCACTTTAGACATTCTATTAACAGTAAGTAACTTTGCAACTACATGTCAACTAGCAGTTAGTAGAGTATTAGTAGACTGTCTGCTTAATATCTTCTAACACTTTCTTTGTCAACTTATTCTACTAACCCTAAACCTACCCTAACAGTCTACTCTGAGAGTTAGTAGACATGTAGTTGCAAATTAATGAGAATTAGTTGACATGTAGTTGACATGTAGTTACAAAGTTACTTATAGTTAGTAGAATGTCTAATGTGGACTATCGAAATAAAGTGTAACCCAATTATCTCTTTAAAACATATTTTTCTCATAATAACGAGATGTTACATAACATTTCACTATTACGAGAAAAGATTACGTTTTAATGAGATGTTATTAAAACAACAAAACATCTTGCTATTATTTATGACATAGCCTAATTGAGTGGAAAAAGTAACGTGTGTGGCAGCAATGCGTCACTGAAAATTCCTCTGTATTTATAATGTGTATTTAGTGTATATTGTTTGAGTTTGTGTGACGCAGTAATAAGTGTTCGTGTGTGTTGTAGACGGCGCGCTGCTGCTGGCGGCGTCCAGTCTGTCGGGCCGCTGCTGGCAGGGCTCCGTGTGGGTGTACAGTGACCCCAAACTGGCGCCCAGCGAGGGCTTCTGTAAGGCGGGCGTTCAGACTGAAGCTGGAGTCACGGATGCGCGGTGGATCTCAGAGCGCTCGCTGCTGCTGGCCTCAGACGCAGGTACCCTGTTACCACAAGCACCATGGTATTGCTGTGTGTTTATGGACATGTATACCGTAGTGATACCACTCTGACAAGAAGTACTGTGATGGTAAAACCATGGTACAATGGTATTTGTATGGTAATTCCAGTAATGCCATGTACTTTTCTTGACGTTTTTTGTATATTATACCGTGGTAATATCATGGTTTTTAGGCTTGTACCATGCAAATACCGTGTTTTTGTGTTATTTTAGGCCTCAACCATGAGAATATTGTGTTTTAACATCTTCCATAGAAATACACTGTTTCTGAACATGTACCAAGGTTTTATCATAATTTTTGGACATTTACCGTGTGTTTTTTTTACATTTGGTCAACAATAATTATTGTGCTTTTCTAGAGATCTACCATAGTAATATTGTGCTTTTTGACATGCACTGTATTAATAATTTTACTGATATTTACCATGGTTTTTGTAGGGTTTTGGACATATACTGGGGTTACAGTAATATTGTTATTTATGCTTTTTTGGAAATTTACCGTGGTATTAGCTTTTGAGCATCTACCAGGGTTATCATCATAGTTTTTAAACTTGTACCATGGTAATACCACGTTTTTGTGGATATTCCACAATAATATTGTGTTATTTGAGCTTTTTTACTAGTTTTTTTTTTTAAATTTTTTTTTAAGATACTAGGGTTTTACTGTAGTTTTTGTGGATGTTCAACAGTAATGTTGTTGTAGTGTTTTTTTATTTTGGACATTTACATGGTATTGTTTATTTACAAAAATAGTAGGTTTTTGTACAAGTACTGAGGTTTTATCATAGTTTTTGGACTTGTACCATGGTAATACTGTGGTTTTTGTGGATGTTCAACAATAATATTGTGTTATTTTAGATTTTTTGGACATTTACCATGGCATTAGTAGGTTTTTGTACGTGTAATATTAGTTTATTTTAGGTTTTTTGGACATTTACCCTTTTATTACTAGGTTTTTGGGTTTCTAGCATGGTTTTCTATCATGGTTTTACCCTGTTGAAAAACCAGGTATGTTAGGTATGTTTTGAAGCTGGGATGCTGGTTTGAGCTGGTTTAAGCTGGTCATGTGCTGGTCCTAAACTGGTCCGACCAGCACATGATCATCTAAGGACCAGTTTAACCCAGCATAAACCAGCAAAGGACCAGCTTAAACCAGCTCAAACCAGCATCCCAGCTTCAAAACATACCTAACCAGCATATGCTGTTTTTTTCAACAGGGTATACCGTGGTATTACTAGGTTTTAGAGTTTCTATCCTGGTTTTGATCATGTGGTGTTCTCTGATATATATATATGTGTGTGTTGTTGTCAGGTTCGGTGGAGCTGTGGGAGCTGGCGGAGGACGAGCGGCTGCTGATGAACCGCTTCACTCGTCTGGAGCATGATGACGTGGTGACGGGTGTGAGTGTGAGCGCCGGCGGGCGTCTCGCCGTCAGCTGTAGTGTGGACTGCAGGTCAGCAGGCGGTGCTGTGAGACTGTGAGAGGCTCAACATGATCTCAGGGCACTCAATCTCTCTCTCCGTCTCGTTTCAGGATCAAAGTGTGGGATCTGAACCAGGAGACCGTCACCAGCTCCTATAACGGTGAGCAGACAGGAAGTGATGTCACTGCAGATTAATAACCCACAGACTCAGATTATCAGATTTATAGATGCAGTATAATTATATATATATTTATGAGACGCCGTGCACTCTTTATCTCTGTCTTGATATGATTCTTGGCCGTGAATCAAATGAAGTGATTCATCTGGATCAGGTTGGTTTGATTCATGAACTCATGATTGAAGAATTTATTTGAATTCTTCTGAAGAAACTGAATGAAAAACATTTCCGTAACAACAGATGATGAAAGACTGATGAGTTCAGCTTTACTAAGAGATAATCACTTGCATTTGAAAGTAATGGGTCAGTAGATTCATAGATCAATAGTTCATATACATATGTGATTATTAAAATAAAAGAAAATATATATATTGTTTAAACAGTATATATTAGTTATTAATTATTGCATATAAGTATGTTTCATATGTATTTTTATTTTAATAATACATTGATTATTCATATAGAATAGAATTTGGCTAATTATTGAATATTAATTTGTGATTTATTTAAACTGTATATATTATTTATTATATGTAAATATAGATTCTTATTTTCAGATATTTTAAGAGTGAGTAATATCCAAATGTGATTTATTTAAAATATATTGTTTATTAATAAAATATGTAAATATATAGTTAGATAATTTTCATATATATTTTGAACGAGTAATATTCATATGTGATTTTGTTAGATTTATGTATTCTTAGAGCATTGTCATATGCTAATAATTATCAAATATTATTGATGTCATTAATGTGAATTATTTAAATGTATATTCTATTTATTAATAAGTATTGATTTAAAATTAATGCTATTAGTATAAAAGTATTTTCATATTTTAATAATTATATTTATATGAAAATTTGAGCTTTATTGAAACTATATATTGTTTATGAGTTGTTAAAAATATGTGTGTGTGTGTCAGCTCACTCTCAGCCGGTCAGCGGTGTGTCGTGTTCTCCTGTCGACGAGTCTCTCTTCCTGTCATGTGCTCAGGTCTGTGCTGTCTCACACACACGCATATATACACATACACACACACACACACACACACGTGTTTGAGTGTGTAACCGTCTCACGCTCTCCTGCAGGACGGACGGCTTCTGCTGTGGGACCGACGGAAACCCAAACCTGCCTCTCACCTGGGTACAAACACACACACACTCACTCACTCACTGTCAAACACACACACACACACACAACACAAACAAACAAACAAGCGCACACACACTCACACACCACAGTATCATTAACTCAGTGCTTTCAGTCTGTCTGGCTGATTCTAAAGTGAGATCCAGCTGAGCACTCAGTCACTTCCTGTCAGGAGAGACCTAACTTCCTGTCCATCTCGTTTAGACGTGGTGTCTCCCAGCTGCAGCCCCACGGCCGTCGCCTGGCACCCTCATCAGAGCAGCACCATCGCATACGGTATGGCTTCATTTCCCACGATGCACTGCTCTGTCCCATGATGCTCTGCTGCTGTTGACGTGTGTGTCTGGTGTTAGGTGATGAACTGGGTCGAGTGACTCTGAGGGATCTGCAGAGGTCGGACGGTGTACAGACGATAAACGCTCACAGCCGCCGCGTCTCCAGACTGACGTTCTCCTCCGACAGGTACGGAAGAAAACACTGCGATAGTTTTAAAAAGAGTGAATCAGCCTGTGAAGTTTCTCCATATTGTAAAATAAGCTGTATTGTGAAGTACGCCGTGAGCCGGATAATGACTGGTGATTATTATGGGCTGTCACCTGCAGTTCACCCCTGCTGGCCTCTATCAGTGACGACTGCTCCGTTGCCGTGGTTACTGAAGAGCTCAGAGAAATGTGAGTATTGACACATGCCTCTCTCCTCATTGGCTGTCCTGCACCAGCCAATCAGAACACAGGAAATCCACACACCCCGAAGTACATGGAACTGACAATCATTAAACAGTTTTTGTGGCTTAAATATTTTAACACGTATATCTAATTTAACTACAAACAATTCAATAATAAACACACGTATTAAATATAATATTTAATAAGAATTTAATACATTTTGATTGAATGTATTGATCAAATGTTTAATTAGAAACAATACATATTTTATGGACAACAGATGAAATATACATGTTGTTAATTTATATTTATAATACTTAAATCTTATATCAAATTAAATAAAATTGAAAGTTGTAGAAAAAATATTTGAAATTGTTTGTGCAATATTTTATACACACACACACACATATGTATATATATATGTGTGTGTGTGTATTTATAGTTAATAACTTGATTCAATGTATTAAAATATTTAATTAGAAATTAAGATTTATATTGTTTAAAAATATTACATATATTAATACATTTATATAAAACATTTATATATGTATTATATAAATGTGCCTACAGTGTAATGAAATTATAATAAAAAAAAAGTTATTAAAAACAAAAATTGTAAAAAAAAAAAATGTATGCATGCATATAAAATATGTAGTCAAATTATTACAAAATATGATTTGTGTATCTTTTTATCTATAAACTTTTTTTATTGTTTAAACAGTTACAAAATGATTTAAGGCACCTTAACATTAACATTTAATTGAAGTGCATTTATATCTCAGAGCGGCGATCTGAGTCTGTCGTGTGGTCCGTGTTTAGTTGCAGGGACCGGCGGCACCAGGATTTCGTGCGCGGCGTGTGTTGGGCCCCGGGCTGCTCGGCCGTGTTGACCACCGTGGGCTGGGACCATCAGGTGCTCCACCACAGCGTGTCTGCGCCCTAGAGCATCATGGGAAACCACACCAACCTCCAGTTCATTCCCATTTCTGTTGTTCCGTCACCATCAAATAATGATTCATGAGTTAAATACATAATCATAGTAGGATCAGAATTCAGAACATGCAGAAAATGTCTTTTTTAATAACAGAAATGGGCATGAATGCTGTTCTCTTCTCATATTTGGGCAAAAAAAAAAAAACATTTCACACGTTTCAGTTTAATAAAGTTTCTGTCATCTGTATATTTATGCTCTCGCATATTTTTATCACACGGTATTGTGGTTATATTCTTTCTTTGGGGGGGGGTAACAAAGGGTTAAATATCCAAAACAACAATTGTCATACTAACACGCTTGCAGATTATTAAAGCACAATTATTGACCTATTGCAATTGTCTCTGACGTACTTCACACGATTAAACCTGTGGAGATGTGTGAGACGTCCAGAAAAACGTGTGTTTGTAGCAGATGCAAGCTTGTTTCTTCAAAGGCACTTTTAACCAGTATATTCATGCAAAAACAAAGTTTGCATTATTTCTTCTTTGATTCTTGCTTCAGATTAAAATAACTATGAAAAGCAGCAAAGGCATTTTTCTTAGTTAAAAAGAACCATCAGTAATGTGTTCAAGGCTTCGTGACCATTTATAACAGCGTTTATTCTCAAATTCGAAGGCTTATTGTATACTTTTTATAAGTTCGTAAAAATACATCATGTTTTGACCTGGAAAAAAATCCAGCACCACTGAAAGAAGCTCTCATATCGAGAGCTATAGATTAATATTGTACATTAATGATTAAAAACATTCTAAAATATTATGCAGAAGTTACAATTAAGAACTGGTGTTCTTAATTTATAACCTGATTAGAAACTGGATTAAACAATTAAATTAAATTAAAAGGTTTGACATTAAAATGAGTTTCCGTGTAGATTATCTAGCCATATACAGGCACAGTTGCTCCATCGATAAATTTTAGCAGCTCTAGAAAGTCCGTGATGAAGCTGCGGTCATAAGAGTTCGGCAAAACCTGAATATACTGACAGCTGAAGAAACATCCAAGTAGAAAGTTAATAGAGTAATACTTTAGCAACAGCAGTAATAAAGCTCCAGACCGGGTGCAAAACGTTAAATGTCTGTCGGGTAGGTGCATATGTACAGGTAAGGCACGTCTTTGGAATAATTCCAGTCAGGAATGCTCTCTGGATCAGGACGAACCGTCTTTGATAACGGGTGTTATTGGTTGTTTGGCTCCTGGTCTCACGGTGAACGTCATTCCAAACTGCTGTTTGGTTGATGGACCGTTACTGAAAGATAAAGAAGAGTCTCATTATTCTTAAGCAAACACTTTAAATACAAAGTTATAAAAGCATGAAGTATTAGAACTTCAAGTAACTGCCATTTGATTCCACTTTAACCAGTAATTCCTCAATATTACAAAAGATTTTTGTGGGCATGTATGCTGCATGTTGTTGTGTTTAAGCTTCTAAATATATCGACTTAAGCAGTTTCATATGCATTGTAAATCATAAATGCTTTGGAAAAAACTGTTGAGTGTTGTTCCAGTCTATTTATCTTCCTGATAATTCATCTCAGCTATGTGCATGTGCTATGAGGGAGGCGTTGCCCGTGATGACAGTCATGCGTAGTTGTGTGCATTATTCCAAAGAAAAAAAACGTTACGTAATCTTTCTGTACATAATCTGATGTCATCAAGTCTCTTATGGAATCTTGTTTCCGCCTCAAAGTAAAAACGAAATAAAAAGGTAGTTGCCACTTTATTTCTTGTAATTGCATCTTAATGTCTCCCAATTGTAACTTGTGGATCTTTTCCTTTCCCCGTTGATAAAGCCCTGCCTGACATTTTTCCTCAATTAATGTCACGTTTCACTTGAAAAATGCACATTACAGAAGTAAAACGGATTGTGAATTCCATTTCATGTTGACTTTAACCATGTCACTTGTGTTTACTTTAAGTTTACCTGTTCTGGGATTTAGCCGAAGTGGCTAAATTTTGAGCTTTTTTGGCCGCTCTGCTTTCCAGCTCCTTGATGTCCACTCCACGAGTTTGCGTCGGCAGGATGGCACTCCGGTTGGCCTGGCTAGCGGAGACGGATGGAGCCACTTGTGAAGGGGGTTGAGTGGGTTTCGTTTGAACAGATGGTTTGGATTGGAGCTGGATATTTGGGGGAGGTCCTGGGGCCTTGGGAGGACAGCTGGGTGGTTTATGTTTGGGCGAAGTGAGGGGCCCGTTGGTGACAGGAGGAGGGGTCGGAGGTTGGGAGGGTTTGGCAGGTGGACCATTTACGATTGGAGTAGGTAAGGATTTAGAAGGTGGAGGGGCATGTTTTACAGGGGTAGCAGGACCGGGGTGACTTGGAGGGGGGCAGCTGATAATAGGAGCAGGTAAGAAGGTTTTAGCAGGTGGAGGGGCACTTTTCCCAGGGGGAGCAGGAGCGGGGTGACTTGGTGGGGGAACTGGAGGTTCCTCCTCATTTTCACAGGTGGAGCAGGAGCGGGGGGACTTGGTGGGGGAACTGGAGGTTCCTCCTCAGAGTCCGAGTTGGCAAATTCAGGAGGCGGTGGAATGAAGACCAAGTCTTCTCCAACTTCCACATCTCTAACAGGGACACCCAGTCCACTAACAGAGCTATTCATTGGGCTTCGTAGAGGGGTTGAGCTTAGCTCTGGCTTTGAGTAGGACATATCTGGAAGGTTAACTTTGGTTGATGGTGAGGTGATTGGTTGCGTGTTTGTGGTCGACTTTAATTGTGCACTGGGACTGTCTGGTGTTGGGTTTCGAGAAATGACGGTGAAGGAGTTTGGTTTTTCTTCACTAGGTTGGATCACAGAACTGACTGGCTCTGTTGAGGTACTGTTCTTTTGGGACAGAGCAGTTCTCTGCTTTTCTCTTTCCTTTGCAGCCATCAGCAAGGCCAGAGGTGAAGTTGTGGTCTCTTTCTTTACTGAGCCGTCTGCGCTCTGTGTGTTGAGACGTCGGTGGTTCAAGATAGGGCTGTACTTGCGAGGCCTGCCAGGGGACGCAACTGGGGTCACCACCTGCCTAACATCAGGTATCCTTTTCTCTATTTTGGGCGAGACTTTGATTGGTGCTGGTACCTCAGTGGGGATGTTTTGTGCCAGTACAGGCTCAGGATTTATTTTGGGCTCTACCGTGGCTGGTTCACTTGGAGCTTGTGCCATGTCTGGCTGGTCATCCTGTAGATGAGTGGAGGAGCTGTTCCGACGGGCTGGTTTGGTTGGTGGCACCCCTGGTTGGAAAGATCCAGGATTTTTCCCATTGACAACACCAACCGTGTTTCCAGCAGAATCTTCCAGCAGCAGAATGGACTGGACTTTTTTTTCCCCTTCTGTCTGTCCGCCAAGTAGTGTGCTCTTCTGCACGCTGTAGAGTTTGGCTGTGTTCTGGGGGTTGAAGCTAGATGGTGTTGGGTTGGAAGCAACGGGTGGCACAGGAGTTTGGGACAGGATGTCCAGATTAGGTATGGAGGACATTCGGATGGGTTTTGGAGGTGCTGTTTTCTGAGCTTTTGCAAGAACAGGTGATGCTTTCACCGGGGGTGGTGGTGGGGTGAACTTGGGGCATTCTGGGATATCTTGAACATCAAGGCTAGAGAGAGAACCTCTGAAGCTGGAAGTTTCCGATGGTGGTTTTGGAGGAGGCATTGGAGGAGGTTTGAGGGAGGTCAAGTCTAAATCTGCACTGTAATCGGAACTGGTAAGTGATGAAGGTTTTGGGGGCGTCTTTGGAGGGGGATGCAGACTTGCACGGTCTAAAGAAGGGTCCATTTCGGCAGAGAACTGTGGTGAGGGAGGGATGAATGATGGAGGCGGCAGGGCTGAAAAAGGAGGAGGTGGAGGGGCAGAGCCAGGCGGAGGCGGTATAAGTATTTCCCCCTGGAGGAGGTCAGGGACGGAAAGCATCCTTCCATTTGGTAGGTTTGTGGTGCTTCCTACAATAAGACAACATGAAAATCAACCACAGGTTCATTAAAACACCTCAGCATGTTGAAAACATTATTTACTGGCTCCCATATTTATGTTCTAGTGTTCCCTGATCAAAGACAAGAAGTTAACTATTCCCAGCCAGTTCTGTGTCGTGAACTCACCTGTACCATTTATCTTGGGCTCGTTGAATGGCGGAAGAACTGGTACCTTGGGTGTTGGAACTGCAAAGCCTTGCACACTCTCAGATGACTAGGATTTAAAGAGAAGCATTTGTCAGCAACATCCTGATTAAAGGAGACTGTTAGAAGGTAAGGGAGTCTACAGCAATAACACACCTTGTATTGTAGAAGCCACTGAGTCACAGTTTGAATTTCTAGGCACTAAACCAACCAGTTTCCCTGAACTATTCAGAGAGCTTATGACGTTCAAGGGTATGGATCCTTTCTCTGGACTCGTCTTTATTTCTCTGAGACATGCTTAAACTGTTGAGAAACTGCAGGACCCATCCCGATTTCATACTCACACGTGGGATGAATAGGGTGAGATAATGTTCCAGACGTGTGTCTGTAAATCAGGTTTTTGGACACTCCTCACCAACACCCCATAATGTGAACGAGACATTACCGGGAATTTTCCAGGAGCATTCAGGTTGCTAAAACAAATGCACCGAATGTCATTTCTTTACAAAACAGAGCATAACCTATGTCTGATAAGAGTCATATTCAGAAATAGTTTTGATAGTCTTTCCTTATAGACAACTTAAGTTGGATTTAGCTTGTCTTTCGTTCTTGTCCTTTCAGTTCTCCGACATGCAAAAGGGGACACACCCCTTAAACGTGTGTTTGTGTTTCAGGTTTTGCTGAAGGTCTTTATGGGATCATCTCTCCAGAAAAAAACACAACCTGACCAAACCTTCAGGTGTGGACGTCCTCATAAGGAAAAAAGACTCTACAGTGGGATTCTCAATCTCTAAAGTGGGATTGGGAAAGGTCCTCAAGCCGGGATTCGAACTCGGGACGCCCATAATGCAATGGCGTTATATGTCGGCACACTTGCTGACTAGGCTATCGGCGACAAACATCATGAAAGTTGTGTTTTATGATTAGTGGTGCAGTTTACATTTTACAGTCTACATTTACACGTTTGCTAGATGCTTTTATCCAAAACGACTTGCATGAAAATGGGAGTGGTGTTTGCTCATGCAAAAGTCCCGGCTGTGGTTGCTTAGTGGCCAAAGGTCAAAAGAACCCATGTAGAGGGTTTGACAACTTGTTTGATTGTCCAGAAGGTGAAACTCAAGCATCTGCAACCCTAACCCTAAAAGTTTAATACTAACCCCAAGTATGAGCCATAATAATAGAAGCACTTAGCAAATGCCACGGGATGTGCCTGATCTCTTCTGTACACAAACAAAACGTGTGTATTCAAAACAGCACCTGCAAGTTTGGATAACTCAGCCGGCATAAACCCGCATCTGCACGCCGTGTAATTTCAGCACAGAAGAATTGGAGGAACATCTGAATCATCAGGATCCTGATCTCATGAGGTGAACGAGTGAGTCGCTCGGGCCCGAACACGCTCAGACTGCCAATTACTGGCACACAGTATGATTGTGTTTGCTGTGATGTGGGCATCACCAGGGTGATACAAACACAAAACTGATGATGTGTGTGTGTGTGCTTTGTTCTGTCAGAGTGAAAGTGTGTTTACATGCTGAGGGTGTGTTTGTCCTGAAGCTAAAGGTGTGTCTTTTAGCAATGTGTGCACAGGACGATTTCAGCACATTTCTCAAGACTTCTATTATCAATGAAACAATTAAATGCAAAACGTACAAGGGCGACACACCAAAACACATTCAGATTGTGTGTCGTAATTACCATTTTCATATACCATGTTATTTACACGGTACTTAAAAATATTTACCATAGTACATTTCCAAAAAAATGGCACTACTACTATAGGCCTACATGTACAAAAACAACATAATACCATGGTGCAAAAATACAGTATTACTATGGTACATGTCATAAAAACATGGTAATACTATATATTTTTTGGTGACCTCAACATTAAAAACTTGTTTGCAAAAAAGTACTGTGGTAAAAGTGATCATTTACAAAAGCATACCATGGTTTTACCATATCTTTTGGACATGTGTTATGGTTTTACCCTGTTTTTTAGACATGTACCATGGTTTCAGCCTGTTTATTTGGACATTTGCAATGGTAAAAGCATTATATGTATTTTGGAAGTTGGAGCCCATGGTATTATCATAGAACATGTCTAAAAACCATGGTAATACTATGGTAACTGTTTTGTAAGTGGCCCAAGCAATAAAAAAATGTTTTCAAGGAAAAAGTACCATGGTGGTATTATGGTTCAGTAATAATTGACAAAAGTGAACCATGGTTTTACAATGTTTTTGGCTTGTTTTCAGACATTTACCAAGATTTTACCATGTTTTTCAGACATGTACCATGGTTTTAGTCTGTTTTTGGACATTTGCAATGGTAAAACCATTATTGTATTGCATATATATACCTTATGATACCATAGTACATGTCCAAAAAAACTACTATGGTATACTTGTTGTAAGTGACCTTGTTGAATACTATTTTATATTGAATCCACTTCACTACTAAGTTAGAGATCATCTCACGAGTGAAGTCTGGTCATGATTTGGGACGTACCGTGAAGTGTTTGACAGTCGGACGTGAGCGCACTTTAGCGGTTCCAGACTCGGGGATGGCAGCTGAGTCCAAAACCAGCTCCACTTGATCTGAAAAACAGAGACATGTTATTTACCTAGTTAACATGGTTTAACTAGCAGCCCGTGTTGTTCAAAGTCACTGCTCAAGACCATGTGACCACCAAAACCACAGAACAAGTCATTCAGGATTCGAACCCGAGACCTTTGTGTTCCAGATATATGATCGGTCTACAGTCTCATAACCTGTGTTTGCTCATTAACAACTTTAAACGTGTTAATGATGTAATTACCAGAGATTCTGCAGCCCTCATTGTAGTCAACCATTGGTTCAGTAATAATTGACAAAAGTGAACCATGGTTTTACAATGTTTTTGGCTTGTTTTCAGACATTTACCAAGATTTTACCATGTTTTTCAGACATGTACCATGGTTTTAGTCTGTTTTTGGACATTTGCAATGGTAAAACCATTATTGTATTGCATATATATACCTTATGATACCATAGTACATGTCCAAAAAAACTACTATGGTATACTTTTTGTAAGTGACCTTGTTGAATACTATTTTATATTGAATCCACTTCACTACTAAGTTAGAGATCATCTCACGAGTGAAGTCTGGTCATGATTTGGGACGTACCGTGAAGTGTTTGACAGTCGGACGTGAGCGCACTTTAGCGGTTCCAGACTCGGGGATGGCAGCTGAGTCCAAAACCAGCTCCACTTGATCTGAAAAACAGAGACATGTTATTTACCTAGTTAACATGGTTTAACTAGCAGCCCGTGTTGTTCAAAGTCACTGCTCAAGACCATGTGACCACCAAAACCACAGAACAAGTCATTCAGGATTCGAACCCGAGACCTTTGTGTTCCAGGTATATGATCGGTCTACAGTCTCATAACCTGTGTTTGCTCATTAACAACTTTAAACGTGTTGATGTAATTACCAGAGATTCTGCAGCCCTCATTGTAGTCAACCATTACAAACTGGTAGTTTGACCTGAATTATGACCGAAGACGTCAGTGTTTTTAAACTATCTGATCTTCCGTCACAATCAAATGTCGAACGAAGAATACAAATGCATGTATTAGTTTGTGCTTTGAGACGGAGTTTCATAAAAATGAATGTTTCACATGTTAATTACAAAATATTAGCAATACTATGGTACTTTGAGATATACCTTATTCATGTACAGTGGTATTTACATGACTACCGTGGTACATGTCCAAAATACAATTGTAGTACCATTTTTGTAACCAAAATATGGTATTGCCATTGTTTTACATACACAGAACCACTGTGGTACCATGGTAAAAGTCCAAAAACATTCTACAGCAGTACATATCCAAAATACAATGGTAGTACCATGTTTGTAAGTGTAAAAACATGGTGTACATATCCTAAAACCAATTATCAATTTACGTGTCCAAAACAAACATGGCACTATCATGGAATATGTCCAAAAACATGGTGTTGTCATGGTATATGTCCAAAAACATGGTGCTATAATGGTTTATGTCCAAAGAAACGTGGCATTATCATGACATATGTCCAAAAAACATAGTCCTAGAAGTGTAATCGGACACGTATTTGTCGGGTCACGGACCTCCGGATCAAAAACAGAGGTATTTGTTTACGGTTTTGCGGTTATAAATACGGTTTTGCTACTCACTTATTTTCAAACACAAACTAATCCAGAGTCTGTTTTAAAGGTTATTCGTGTCTTTAAGAAAGCGCTCCGCGACAGGTGCAAAGGTCTGTAGCGAAGAACACTTAAATAAACTGCTATCATATCTATTTAAACTCTACACGAGACGGAATCTCTCTTACCCATGTCCTTGAACTCCACATTGGTGCCGAATAGAGATTGATTCTTCCGACCCAGGAAATTGAGCGATCCCTTCTTCATGATTGTGAGGAGAGTGATTGTATCCGCAGTGATTTAAATCAGCGTGATTTCATGATTTCAGTGTTTCAGCAGCAGCTGACTGTGAGCTCGAGTCTGTCACTGATTCAGAGAAACACTGAGGAGAAGAAAATGGCCCCGCACCTGAACCGCCACGTGACCCCGCCCACTTGAAGACAGGTGAGCACACACACACACACACACACACACACAGCGGCTTACCACGGTAACAAGAGTTAATACAGTTATTACAGTTGTAGTTTGTGACGTAAAGTCATAATAAATGAACATGGATCTCCTTCAAGCACCCAAAGCATAGTTCATTGTCATTTTAAATCTTTATCAGTCTTTGTCACTATCCTTCAAAACACTAGGTTTCCCCCTTTGTCATCAAGTTTTACTTATTCTCACATATTCTACAATAGATGTACAAGTAGTACAGGTCAGGATTTGCATGTTTAATTTTTACATAAATATATCTGTTATGCTGAATGATTATCGAAAATAATTTCACCCATATTTTGACATCTTCACAAAAGTTATTTGAAACATTAAAGTAGACACTTTACTTGCATTTAATATGCTTTCTATGTTTATAAATAGCACCAACATCTCATCTTTTACCCATATATAGTCTTACTTATTGCCTTGTTTACCCTTCATAACTTTATTCAAATATATATTAATTTAAATAATTAATGAATTAATGTATATACATAATATATCTGTATTTTCAAGAAAATGATGTATTGTCTCATTAAATTTAGTACCTCTTCTCATCATTCATTAAATTAAACGGTAACTTATTATCCAGCTAATAGAGTTTTACTACCTTTTTATTTTGATTTGGTTTATCTGGATGCAAAGATTATTATTCTAGCTATGTTTTCAAAAGGAAAAAAATAAAAAAATTACAAAGCAACATCCTGCATCTGGAGATAAATGTATTTAATGCTGAATTTTGAAACATTTCTAAATATGCTTTTAAGCCCATGTGGGTATTATCATCATAATTTTTGTTATGTTGATGTAGAGCAGTGACAGCTTAAAAGCAAATTGTCCTCTTTGTGATTATGCTTACTGTGTGTGCTAATTGAATTTGTGCCTCACATGCTAGTCAAACATTCTACAGCAGTACATATCTAAATTACAATGGTAGTACCATGTTTGTAAGTGTAAAAACATGGTGTACATATCCTAAAACCAATTATCAATTTACATGTCCAAAACAAACATGGCACTATCATGGAATATGTCCAAAAACATGGTGTTGTCATGGTATATGTACGAAAACATGGTGCTATAATGGTTTATGTCCAAAGAAAGTGGTACATGTCCAAAATACAATTGTAGTACCATTTTTGTAACCAAAATATGGTATTGCCATTGTTTTACATACACAGAACCACTGTGGTACCATGGTAAAAGTCCAAAAACATTCTACAGCAGTACATATCCAAAATACAATGGTAGTACCATGTTTGTAAGTGTAAAAACATGGTGTACATATCCTAAAACCAATTATCAATTTACGTGTCCAAAACAAACATGGCACTATCATGGAATATGTCCAAAAACATGGTGTTGTCATGGTATATGTCCAAAAACATGGTGTTGTCATGGTATATGTCCAAAAACATGGCACTATCATGGAATATGTCCAAAAACATGGTGTTGTCATGGTATATGTCCAAAAACATGGTGTTGTCATGGTATATGTACGAAAACATGGTGCTATAATGGTTTATGTCCAAAGAAACGTGGCATTATCATGACATATGTCCAAAAAACATAGTCCTAGAAGTGTAATCGGACACGTATTTGTCGGGTCACGGACCTCCGGATCAAAACCAGAGGTATTTGTTTACGGTTTTGCGGTTATAAATACGGTTTTGCTACTCACTTATTTTCAAACACAAACTAATCCAGAGTCTGTTTTAAAGGTTATTCGTGTCTTTAAGAAAGCGCTCCGCGACAGGTGCAAAGGTCTGTAGCGAAGAACACTTAAATAAACTGCTATCATATCTATTTAAACTCTACACGAGACGGAATCTCTCTTACCCATGTCCTTGAACTCCACATTGGTGCCGAATAGAGATTGATTCTTCCGACCCAGGAAATTGAGCGATCCCTTCTTCATGATTGTGAGGAGAGTGATTGTATCCGCAGTGATTTAAATCAGCGTGATTTCATGATTTCAGTGTTTCAGCAGCAGCTGACTGTGAGCTCGAGTCTGTCACTGATTCAGAGAAACACTGAGGAGAAGAAAATGGCCCCGCACCTGAACCGCCACGTGACCCCGCCCACACACTCTCTCACACACACACACACACACACTCTCACACACTTACACACACTTACACACACTCACACTTACTCTCTCACACGCTCTCTCACACACTCACACTTACACACTCTCTCACACACTCACTCACACTTACACACTCTCTCTCTCATACACACACACACACACTCACTCACTCACTCACTCTCTCACACACACACTCACTCACA